TCCTGCTCGCACTTTCCTCCGCCCCAGCGGCCACGGCGGCAGGGGGAGCCCGCGGAGGCGGCACGCACCGGGAGGGGGCGGGGGCCGGGAAGTGCCAGGAGCGACCGGGAGAGGGCGGGGCAGGGAGCGGGGGAACGGCCGCGCGTGCCCCTGCGGCTGCCGCCCGGGCCGGCGGCGCGGAGCGGGGCGCGGAGCGGCCCTCGCTCCCTCACTGGCCGCGGCGGGAGGGGAGAGCGGGTGGGAGGGAAACGGCGCCGCCACCGGCCTCCCCTCCCCCACGCACGGGACAGCAGGCAGAGGGGGAGCGCGGCGGCAGCCACGCAGCCAATGAGGAGCAAGGGGCGTCGTGAGGGACGGTCCCGCGCAGCCAATGGCGCGGCGCGGGGGGCGGGAGCGCGGCGCAGGAATGGGGCGCGGCGGCGGGGGGCGAAGGGCGTCGCGAGGCCCGGGCTGGTTATGAGTCCGTCGCCGTGTGTGGGTCTCAGTGTCCGGCTGAGATGCAAATAACAACGGTTACATCAACGTTACTGATAGGGTTACACTTGCACTAAGCGACGCGTTCCGCGTGCGCTCTTTAAGTGGTTCAGCTCCCTGCACGCGGCGCGATGATGTCACCGAAACCGCTGCTCGCTGTGGTGGCGGCCAGCGCCGTAACGTAGGAAAAGCGGCCGCCGCAGGTTGCGCGCGGGGCAGGTCGCAGGGCCGGCGCCCGCCCGTGGGTGCCAGCGCTCGTCCCAGCCCGTGGAAACGCACTTCATTTCCAGGAGTGCGTGCCGCGCCCGCAGCCTGCCCCGCGCGGCGCGGAGGGGGCAGCGCGGGGGCGCGCGCGGCTGCTCTAACCGTTAACGGTCCTCGGCGCCTGCTCGCGCCCCTTTCACTGACCGCTGCCTTCCCCTCGGGGCCACCGCCAGCCTGGCCGGGTGGCACTTTACTAGGATAATCCACCGAGAAATGGCCAAAAGGGTAAAAGAAGCCATTTTACACGAGCCACAAAACAGCCACAGGAGAAGGCAATAGGTCGGGTTAGCATCTGGCCCGGATTTTAGTATGTATCCAGAAGTGAAACGTTATTACCAGCCCCTGAAAAGGACTCCAATTAATACTTCCTGTTCAAGGTTGTTAATGGCTTCATTCAGTTGCTGGCGGGGCTTTTGAGGAAGATAGGTTAATCATTAACAACAAGATGATCTTGTTGATCACATGTAAGCACACAGTGTTTAACAGTGCTCTTATTTATTTACATCTTACTGTCTCTGTATAGGATTCGTATACTTGAGTATCTAATATCCCTCCAGATACAGAAAGGATACACTTCTATTAGGATAATAATACTTGTTTATTGTTTTACTTTTCCGTGAATCCTGCCTCTAGCATGACTGCACATATAATTGTTTTTGGGAACTACATCATCTATGCCTAGTTTCAAAACTTTAAAGTTAATTACTATAAACCATTACTATAAACATTACTATAGCTGTAAAAATAATTTTATATATATATATTTCTCAAAGCATTAAATCACTTATTTTTCTTTGTGCTCAGATAAGCCATTTTCCTCAGATGAGTCACTTTCGGACTAAGGCCAAGTATGAGAAGTTCAGACTTTAAAGTAAAAAGCACTGCCAAGATATCTAAAATCTCTCGGTGTAATGCACTACAGTAATGCTTTAACAAAGTTACTAATGTTTTACCTCATGTGAACAATTGAGGATTTCTGTCAAATTCCCAAAAAAGCATCCTTATCATAATTAATACAAACGTCTGTGTGAAGCTGATGTCCTCCTCCCTTCCATGAACTCTTCAAGGAAGGCACCTACTTTATGTATGAGATTATCATAACTTTTTTTTTTTAATATGAAATTGTTCTTTGGCAATGTTTATTGTACATTGCCCAATGCATTTATTAATGCAGCTGGATAATGGATGGGTGTGGGAAATTTAAAGCAACTGTTGTTCCCATGGAGGATCTACTGTAGTTGCGATGTTAGTTTCAGTGTAAGATTTTATTTCACTTCCAGTTTTAGCCATCAAAAATAAAAGCCTAGCCAAAGATTACTGAAACTATAGATAGCTACACCATGACTCCTGAAGACATTTTACACAGACAAGATACAACTATCTATAAAAATTAAGAAATACCAAGAATTATCCCAGGGATTTAAAAGTGCTATAAATATCAAGACGGTATTTAGATTACAGCTGTAACAGAGTCCCCAGCAACATTAATTCCCAGAGTTGGTATCCCAGTTACCATATAATTACAGATAAAGTGCACAAGGTACAAAATATAAAGTTACATAATGAGACCCTTTCAAGCAGGACTATGCAAGTGATCCTAGTGAAAGTTTAAACAAATTCTTTAGACACAGTTTCACATTAGACACCAAGACTAAACTCCTTTCACTCAAACACCTATTTTTATATTTGAACAGCAACATTAGTAAATACCACAGCAGCACACAGCTAAACTGAAAGAACAGTTGGTGAAACAGCCCCATCTATATTTGTGCCTTTCAAGAGTGCAGACAGGGTGCACAATGTGTATGTTGTTGTTTATACTAACAATATTTGATTGCTATGCCTCCCTATTTTCACCACTAGGGTTAATTATATTCATGAGTTTCTGTATTTCTTAGAGTTAGACTGAAATGCCTTCAGCAGAAGCTTTTTTTTTTTTTTCTTTACCATTAAATGTTTAGATAATGACTTGAACTATGGATTTTAACTTGAGTACTGAGGTGTCTGGACATCGTTGCAATGCAAACGTTAAATAATAGTTAATAGAAACAATGACTGCCCGAAAGACATGAAGAGACAATACGCAATTATTTCTCTAATGAGTGCACATGAAGGTTTAGTTATTTATTTTGGATAGTCCTTAACTTAAATATGTCCATGGTTTATACAAAAAGTCTTACTGTAACATTAACTGAATTGATCTGATCCCCAACTGGATTACACCACTTCTATGCTGATGAAAGTCTCAGTTACATCAACACAGAACCGTGGTACACTTTAGTGGCAAATACGGCCTAGAAATATATTGTTATGACTTTCAAAGTACGTAGCTTACTATCTAGTGTGTGCAAAGAGGGAAGTTAATAAAACAATCTTTACTCCATTTAACTTTGCAACAATCACAAGTTTGTACCAATATTACACTACATTACCCCATACAAAGGGATTTCTCTGTATTTGGTTGCAGTTTTGTCAAATAGTAATCAAACAGGGCAATGAACACAATTGTGCAACCAAGATTTGGAATATTTTGCATGTACCAATAAAAAAACTTGGTAAGACCACAACCTATTTTGTATATGCTGTGTTCCAGAAATGGTTAGGCATGTTTTAGAGTTATTTTTAAACCTTTTATTGTGACTTTTTGTTTGTATGTCTCTTCCCTAGTTACCATGGGTGAGTTCCTGATTTCTGCCGGAGGAACGTGTGGCACAGCATTCCTCATGGAAGAGAAAAGGCACAAAGGTGGTGGTAAGGTACCTTTCCTCCTCCTTGATTTCACATTGCTTTGCTCCTGGACAGTCTCTTTAACATTGGCTTTAAGCTACGATGCAGTCTCTTAGCCTAAGAGTCTGTTTGCACAGCTGATGCCAGCACATAAATCTTGCACTGGTCAAAACAAACAGAACGGAATGAAAACTAGAGCCGAGCTGTGTGAGGACACGGGCATCTGTGGATTGTAACCATCTATCCCTTGCTCCCGAGTGCTTGCAAAGCAGCTTCTGGCCACACTGAAGACAAATGTGAAGTTGGCAGAAAGAACACAAAATGAAATGACCCAAAACACACTTTTGTGTGCTATTTTGCCTAATTTGGCCCCAACTGCCTTTGAGAAGCTTCTCAGATCCCAAATGAGTAACATCTGATGTTGTTGAGGATCTTCATGTACAAAAAAACAATCAAGAAAAAGAACTGTACCAACATGAAATAACTTTTCTATAGGATATCAATTACCTCAGCTCTATAGCAGCTCTATAGCAGCTGTACACTAATTACATCACTCCTTAAAGTAGGCTAGTTAGTGCTACATCCTCCTGTAGGAAAACTATCACTCCTCTTTCTCCTGTGATAGGAAGGAAGAATTTACTTAGAATTAATGGTAGTGGATTTTTTAGGCTGATGAAAATCCCTTAAAATCCTTTCTGAGGTAATGAATTGGTGAATAAATGATGTGGAAGCAGGCACTGTAAATGTATCATAATTATGATTCCAGAAATATTCTATATAGGCACATTTAAGATAATGGTACCCATCATGCTAACCATTGAATGAATCCATATTTCTGAAACTGGAATAAATTTCATTCATTTTACATTTTATGGCTTCCTTATCTCTGTTCTGAGCATTAGTATTTCTCACATGGGGTAACAGTACAATCCAAATCTCTAAGTAGTTTTTAATCAACACTTTTGTATACATTTGCACACATAAAAATTTCATTACTCTTTCATTGTCTGCATTGTACGCATCTTATTTTCTATCAGTAATCTCAATCATGTAAAAATGAGGACTAAAAATATGTGAATTTCTGGTTTCAGTGTTGGCTTAATGATAGTTAACACTGTATGTCTTACAGCCAGCCATGGTTGGAAGCAGAGGTCAATCCCTCTGAAACCAGGAGATCCACATGTTCCAGTGAGTT